TCCCTTCCGACCCTAGAAACTATGAAACTATATACTTGTTATACTTCTTTACTTTACTTTCTTTCATCTTAAAAACTATTCTGTAACATTAAAAATATTTCTAGCAATACTTCCTTATGTATTGTTTCTTGCAGATATTATTCAAGTGAGAACTTGTTAGATTAAAATGTTGTCAAGTCTCTCTGACTGTGAAAATCTGACATATCTATCTAATGGCAGTTCTGTCATAAATGTGTGTACTATGCCCTTTTATGTGAATTTCCCTTTAAAGTTGTATTTAACTGCATGTTGTTAGTGATTGGCTAAACCTTCTGTATTTTTTTTTTTAAACATAGTTCCTTGGAAATGGACTAGTATTGTGTGTGATAACTGGACTTTTATAGTTCTTCACTACTTGTCAGGTATGGAAAAAACAGGAGCAGGGACAATGGCTGGCTTTAACACTAGGATATAAGGATTTAAGTTAACAGGCTACTTTGAACCTTTGGTTCAGTCTTGCAATTAGTTTAGCCTAACTAGGCAAATGGACACAGTGCACACCTTCTCCAAGATTTTCCAAGAATTATCTTAGAAGGATTGCTGCCCCTGTACTTTCATTGTCGAAAAAATAAGTTTATAACTTTGTAAGTTCATGACTTTTGGGAATTGCATGCGTCTAATTTTTATATGCTTAACAAAAATCATTTAAAAAAAACCCAAACCTTGCAGCATTCTTATTGTCACTTGTTAGTGATGTGTCTGAAACAAATGGACACATGCAGGGAACCTGCCATAGGCCTTTGTGTTGAAGTGTAGAGGGTGTGTTGAAGTACAGATGACCTATAAATGTGTGGCTTCTTTTTCCTTTCTCCATCTAAAGACAATAGCTTGTATATGCATGTGCTTGAGTGTCATCTTGATCAAACTTGAGAGACTATCTAGAGTCTATAGTTGAATTTTTGGGAGGGGAGTTTTTTTTTTTTAAGCTTCTGATTCCCTCAACGTTTTTTTTCTTATGCTTGTAATTCTCATCTGATGAATACTTGTCTCGGCAGCCCTACCCCTAGAGTAACAAACTCATTACCTGCGCTATACAGTGGAAGTATGCACTTGCCTATTGAACTAATGCAACAATAAATGTGTAAAATACTTAGTGTCATGGAAATGAAGTCAACAACACCAGAGTCAATCCTAGAGATGAACTGAAACTAATTTTGACAAAAGGATGCATCAGACTTTTTTTTCCACCTTGGGAAAAGGGAGGATGGAAATTAAATAATCTTTCCTGACCCCCTGTGTAGCTTATTTGAATGTGAAATGTAAGTCTTGCTATTTAGTTGCACAATAATATCTTACATTTTCGATAGAGGGGCCATGAATCTTATTTCCTGTCATTTGGCATGCTCTGTGCTCTTCTTAATCTCCTTTAGATGTATATTTTTAAGGGGTTGGAAGCAGTAGGAAAGAAAACAGTTAAACAATTTTTGAAGGATTAGATGGAAACTAGTAGTGATTGGAGTCACTGGACAGTTGGGGGATTAGGAGGTTTCAGGGGTCCAAGTATTTTTTTATCTTTGTGGTTTCTGAGCCTCAGCACCTAGGCTGTAGTTGGAAGGTAGGTCTCTCTAAATATTGCTTGGAAGTACTATTTTGCTAAGGAGTGGTTCAACATGCTTGTCATTTCCGACTGGCTTAGGTATGGAAGTGATGCTGTGCCTGTGTGAAATAAATAGGATTCCTGAATATCAGGGCCTGTTCCTTTTCTGTGAAACCTCAAGTCATAGATCATTTTAAAAAAAAAAGTGTGGGGAAGGTGGGGGTGCTGTTATTAGAAGCCTAATATAAGGCATTTATGGTCTACACGTGCTGAGCACCAGCAGCTCCTAATGCAGTCAGTAGGTGCTACCCAGGCATGGCATCTCTGAATATTGGGCTTCTGTTCCTTCCTGGATGTAGTCATGCCATGGCTTACTTGCCAACTTCAAGGGGTTATCTGTGGCCTAGTGTATTATTATGTGTAAGGCCTTGTAGGAGAATCAAATAAAGTTTTGGTAATGTTCAAGTTTAATATTTTGCTCTCTCTTTCTCTCCTTTTCCTTCAGTGCAACCGAATGGAGTAAGACACAGTTCCTATTCAGCCACACGGAAAAATCTTTATATCAATAAAGATACCAAGATCATTTGTCAGGGTTTTACTGGCAAGCAGGTGTGTATAAACGAAACAGTTTTCCACTATGAAAAGAGTAATCACTCAAAATATTTAAGTTCATGAATGAGATTTAAATGACCCATTTGCTGATGATGCCTTGGGACTGGATTATATCACCAAAAAGAACTCCTTAGTTCTGCATTCCTAATCCTAAAAGATGTTCCATATCTTATGCTTTGTTTGGTCTTTTAGTAATTAACACATTTTAATAAACTGGTCTTACAGATTTATTGCTATTACTTTGCAATCTTACCTTTGCTACTGTATGCAGCATAACACCTTAAAAAAAAAAAAACAAAAAACAAAAAAACAAACTGAAAGAGAAATTTCTGCTCTGTAGAAGGACCCCCCCACATTTCTGCTAAAATACCTCTGGACAAAGGGAAATGTTCTTCATTGTTAAAGCAGTTTGTTCTGGACACTGTCTTACAACCCTGTTAAAACCATATTCAGTGTATAATTCTGTAACATGTCTGGTGACTATTCTGTGAATGTGTGCACGTGTGACAAAACAAATCTCTGTGGAGTAAGTATTGGTGCTTTGTCATCTAAATATGATGGTGCTGTGTATATACTCTTGTTCTTTTTGTATTTTTAATTTCTAACAGCAACCTGGAATCCTACTGTTTCCAGTCCAGTTCATGCTCAGATTCAGTAACTGGGCTCTTCAGTGTCTTTGGTTAGTGTTTGTTCATTCAAATGTTACCTTGAGACAATGCCTTTTTGTGCTCAAATCTAGAGTTTATTTTCCAGAGGGATTCTGTGCAATTCCTGTTGTCGTCTTGGTTCATTTAATCTTCTCTTCACATTTTTCTCACTGTTACACATTTGAATGAAAAATAGTCTGCATCTGACAGTAGAATCACATTGATATAAACTGGTAGCAGCTGCTGATATTCATTCATTTGACTTGATTATCGTATCTATGATCTGTGAGAACAGATATGCAGAAATAAAGGGTGAACCTCCACTGTGCTCTCAAAGTATTGGCAAGGGGAAAACCAGCTACTCTGTCTTGCAACTTGGAGCACATCAGCTCTGATCTAAAAGAAAAAGCCATTTCATATTATTTTGAAGGTCATCCAAAACATTCCTGTGCATTGTAGATTATTTATTTGTCCTATCAGTTTGTTGTGCTGTACATTGTACATTCATATCAGGAATGGGGGAACCAATTAACTGTAGCCTTTGTGTTCCATGCCAGTCTTCTGGTTGAAACGGCTACGTTGAGTTGTTCAAATTTTGGGAGCCAAGAGAGGTTTTTGTGCATCTTACTTTGTACATCATCTTTTTGGTGGTTTTTTCATTGTATGCACTTTCTTCTGTTTCAGTCTCAAACCCTTTTCTTTGTGGTAAATCAGTTTAACTGCATCTAGCTAAATTGCATGTTATCTGATATCCTCACTGGGGACATGGTTTGGGTTAAACAAGCATGTTACTGCTCGGTAACTAATAGGGATGTAAATATTGTTTAAAAAATATTAGTTTAACCTCCTCTAATTATATCGGTTAAACGATAGCACAGCAGCTCCCATAGCTGCTGCTGGGAGCCACTCCTGGGGCCCTTTGACTGGGTGGAGCGGGGAGGAGCAGCCAAGCCAAGGCAAGCCAGACAACACAGCCCAGGTGAATCCCTGCACTGGGAGGAAGCACCTGTGAACCAGCAGATAATTGCTTAATTGGTGAATCATCACTAGGCTGCTTGTACTAGTCCCCCTTGCCCTTCCTACCTGCCCTGCTGCTTTCTGATTCTTGCTAGGGCATTGCATGGCTTCTCTTCCCCACTTCTTTGCCATGATGCCCAGCCCCTGAACTAAAAGATAACCGGTAAGCTAACCAGTTATCACTGCAGTTATCATTTAAATGATAAATCATGTAAACTTCTGCATCCCTAGTAACTAACTTTTAATTTTTTATTAGAAATATGTTAGATGGGGACAGAGTTTTGACCAGACTTGTCTTACTCTTCAAGATCTCTTTCTGAAGCTATCCTCTTTGTTCTTGAACACTTCCTTTGTCTTCCTGTCTTGTTTCTAAATGCAAACTATATTTACCCTTGACTTCTTGACTTAACACTTTTTTCCCTCTACCCTTCCTTCCATCTGCCTGCTTCTTGTTTGTCTCCTTTTGGTACCAGGGTGTGTCCCCTGTCAGGAACTTTTGTATCTCTTTACTTCATTTTCTTTTTTTACATCTCACTTGAAACTATCCTCATCACTTCTGTTGCACAGAAAGAGAGCAGCTTTATAAGGATCTTACTGCACAAATGCTTAACACATGTTAAATCTGTGGTATTAAAATTGCAAGGTAATGTTTACTGTGATCTGTAATTCCAGGTGGGAGTCACTTTTTGTGGCTCCCAGCTGGAATCTTGAACTGGCCCTGGAGAGGTGCCAGGGCTGGGATCAACAATTATCTGACTGTTGGTCCCAGCCCTTGAACCCTCTGGCGCTGCAGGTACTTGATTCTGGAGGATCCTCATAAGTGAAAGATCCAGGATCCTTCCTCCTGATGTATGTGGCTCTCCTTGTCTCACCTGGAGCTGGGTGAGGACTGCAAATTGCTTGCGTTATCACTATGGAGAAGTCTGATGGCTAAACACTTGTTATCTAATATTATCTGGAAATGCTTCTTGTGCAAAAAAAATCATACCTTTGGTATGATACAAGCACACAATGCATGTTTTATTGCTTGAACACTTGTGCGTTAAGTGCATTTATCATGCAGTATGACCCTGAGACTTTCTAAATGACCATTGTTGCACTCCAGTGAATTCTGATGCCTTAAGGGAAGGCAGGATGGCCCCTTTGGGTATTTTTACATGTACTCTGGAGGTGGGGGCAGCAACATTTTAATTAGAGTGGCTTCCAGAACTGCTCTAATTAAAGAACCTGGACTGTCTCATGTATCAGCATCTTTGTGCTTCAGAATGGTGGAGGGGGCACTTTAACTAAAGCTCGTTGTTTTTTACTGTGTGCAGCAAAATCATCTTGTTCTGATTTTGACATGTCTTTCTTATGGATAAAGTTGTTACTTTGCCTTGGATGTAGTAGGCCTTGCATTAAAAAGACATTTAAAAATGCTTTCAAAGTTTTTTAGTCTTCAAAGATTTGAGTTTTATTGTTTATGAAATTTTCTGCCTCTTTCTACAGGGCACCTTCCATAGCCAACAGGCGCTGGATTATGGCACCAGTCTAGTAGGAGGAACTTCACCTGGGAAGGGGGGACAAACTCATTTGGGCTTGCCTGTCTTTAATTCTGTGAAGGAGGTAATTTTCCAAGAGTGGACAAAATCTTAGAAGGGAAGGGATGGAGGCAGAAAGGCTGTCAGATTTGGATACGTGAATGCTCCCTTAAGCATCCAGACATGACATGAGGGAGTAACAGCAGAGATGTGACTTAACATTCTGGTTTAAGTACTAGTAAAATATAAAATTGTCCAGCCTATATAATACGGGGAGCAACTACAAAAGTCAAATCTGAATTTGGTTTTCATTGTAAAATCCATTTTTCACGTACTTGTGTAAATTAAAGGGGCTAGATGTCAATTGAATTGTTTGCACGTATATTCTGTGCATGTGACTCTAGCTTCTGCTGATTACTGCATGGAATAAAGAAGTGTGACTTGAAGAGTAGTCTTCACTGTATAGTGTGTAAACACTATATAGCTTGTTTCTAGGCATCTGTTTTGCAGTTACTCCTGTACTGCTTATGTCCTATCAACCCAAATGAAATTGCTAAGCATTGAGTTGGTATGACTTCATACCCTGAATCTTCTGTTTTTTGTTTTGGGATTTTGTTTGTTTTTGTTTTGTTTTGTTTTAATTTGCTTCTCTTTAGATCACATCCACGAACAGGAATATTTTAAATGGTTAGTGGACAGATGTTCTCAAGATTTTTCTCATGTGTTTGTAATACATTTTTGTTAATATACCCCTTAGGCCAAAGAGCAAACAGGTGCTACTGCCTCCGTTGTATATGTGCCTCCTCCATTTGCTGCTGCTGCCATTAATGAAGCTATTGATGCTGAAATCTCTTTAGTTGTGTGCATTACTGAAGGTATTCCACAACAGGACATGGTTCGGGTTAAGCACAGACTGACTCGTCAAGATACGACTCGGTTAGTTGGCCCAAACTGCCCTGGAGTCATCAATGTAAGTTTTATAAAGCAAAGATGTTGTGTGTTTTAAAGCCTTAGACTGGACAATTTTTAATGATACTCCAGACTCTTCTTTCTTGATTTTTTTTGATCTATAGTTCTTTTCTCTTTAGCCTGGAGAATGTAAAATTGGCATCATGCCAGGTCACATTCACAAGAAAGGAAGAATTGGTAAGTTTTACTTTCTAATTTGCATTATTGTAAGGTGAAATCATCCTTTATGATGTAATTTAACGTATTGCTGATCAACTCTTACCCTTAAGGCATTTGAGGTGCTATGTAATAATTTATTGAATTTGATAATGTGTAAATGCAGACAGATGAGTGATTGCACTGGTAATAAAGCCCTTATTTTTACCTTGATGGATGTTGCTTGAGCAGTAGTAATGGACGTAAAGGTACTGGAAGAGATTTCTGAGGTAACATAGTTGGCTTATCTTTCCTTGACTCTTTATATGAGGATTTTCAAGCACTACACTTGTGATCTTTAATCTTTCAATGCTTTGACAGTGGAGGCTGAGGAACCTATACCTGAAAGGAGCTTAGCATTATGTAGAGAAGGGAAGCAAATTTACTTTTGGTTTGAATACTTACTGGGTAAAATAGCATGCGTTCATCATGCGATGAACATGTAACAAATCATATCAGTTTCTGAAGTTGGAGAATTTGTCCAAAGTTGGTTTCTACTTTGCTGCATAGAATCGTGCTTTCTTGACTTCCTGGTCCCTGCTTTAAAACACTAGGTACCATGAACTTATTAAAAAAACAAAACAAAACATGTACATAGGCTTTTCTTGGCGTGGCCTGCATACAATCTCAAAAACAAATACTGGGACTTAGTAAATAGAGGACTTCTGCAGAATGTGGCTGGTGAGACTCTCTTCAGGTTTGTAAACACCTGCCCCAATGGCAGTACTCTTATTAATGTTAGTGCTTTGCATCAGACAAAAAGAGTGCTGGGGAAGAGAGGTGTCTAATGCCTTTGAGATGGTGCATTCTTGCAAGAAATCATCACTTGCTGCATCAGGGTGAATAGTACCCAAAGGAGTACCCTAGCTACACTGGTGCTCATTATCATAGTGCAATTTACTCCTTATCAGTTAGTGTTTAGCTTCTTGGCATCAGCTTTTTTTTTTTTTAGAGACTAGTCTGTTCTGGGTTAGTGCAGTAAGAAATATTAACACCCTAGTCACACACCTAGTTTCAGAAGTACCTATAAATCTGAAATTGAAAAATCAAAGGGGAGTTCAATTATGTCCTTTTTGTAGATGGAATCATAAAATATTGGCCTGATGATAAAAGACAGAAATGGCTGACATCACCTTGCATTCTCTTCTGAATCAAAGTACTGTTAAATAGCTCTTGAAAATATCTTGTACTCATAAAATGTTTTAGAGAGAAATCTTAAGTGCAAGGCACGTAAAGTACTATGTGATAGTCTTAAATCTCTCACATCTGCCTGGCCAGCAGTAGTTCAAGGATTGTGCGAGTGCAGACATGAGCTGTATTTTTTGGTTCCATTCTCTAGTAGTGCTGTGTGGTCCTTGGCTCTAGTCATAAGTATCCTTCCCCTCTATTACTGAATTACATTGGGATATTGTAGCTGTAATGGGCAACAGAAATAAGCTATAAAAATAGTACCAGTCCTCTGATCTTTAAACTGTAGTTGCTTAAAAGATATTTGATCTGAATAGTTGATTGCAAATATTTTACAAATGAGATATTCATTGTGAGGGGAGGACTTTCTGTTGCTTCAACAGCACATAGACTTGAAAGTTCTAAACTTCCTAAGTGTTGGTAATAACGTTATTTGTGTTGCCTACTCCTTTCCCTAAGAAAGATGCCCAGGTGTCTTCCATATTCTGGATAGCTTCTTTATAATGCTAACAAAAAGTTTGGCTTCAATCCTGTATGAATCAATCCATCATAACATGTTACTGCTTAAAAACCGTTTGCTTCAAGATGACAAGTAACAACAGTGACTTTGTATGAGAGCAGCTCTCGGACTTGGGTCCTGTGGGTACTGCCATGGCACCAATGTCAAACAGCAGTAATGGCACTGTAATAAGCTACAGAAGCAATTAGGTTTCTGCAAGCATTTTAGATTGCAAAATATTTTTAAAGGGTAAAGATATGGAATCTGTTCCTTTGCTAGACTGCAGCCAGCCTTATATGGTGTGGACAGCAGTAGAGCATGCATTTAGAAGAAGGAAGTAATGCTGTTGTAAGTTGACTTCATAGGTAAAGTTCTAGTGCAGGGGTGTCAAACTTAATGGAGTAGCAGGCCATTTTCCCCTACCAGCAGGTCATCTAGCCCGTGTTCCTTCTCTGAGGCTAGATGACCTATCTTCAGATCGGAATCACAGGGCTTCTTGCTGTGGCTGCTGGAGCCACTGTGTTGTTGCAGTCAGCTCCCAGGGAATTAAAACAGCTCGCTCCCCTTTTCCCAGTGTGAACTAATGCTGATTTTTTTTGTTTGTTTGTTTTCAGCAGTGAACAAAAACTTGAAATTTGTGTGTGTGAAGGGGGAAGGGAGGAGGTCAAGCAGCTGTGGCATTATCCCCAGTTTCTGGCTCAGCTGCTACCACAGCTTCAGCAGCTGTGGATAGACTCCCTGTAAGTCATATCTGGAGGGGAGTCATCCAACCTATAAGCAGCTTGGTTGGCTGGATGTTTGCCACCCTAGTGTGAGGAATGCTGTCTTCTTTGATGCTGTGGACTTTGTGGACAGTTTCAGGTGACTGAACGTCAAGAAAACCAACCAGGAAATGAGTGACACAAATCAAATATTAAACAGAATATGTATTTTTGCTACAGTAACTGGAAACTGTTTTTTCTACTTCTTGTGATCTCCTGATCACTCTAAAAACATATGAATAAGGGCAACAAGCAGAAGCCAACTGATCTTAATGTATAGAAGGAAGTAACCAGTCTCCTTCTTTTAAGGTATCGTGTCAAGATCTGGCACCCTGACATACGAAGCTGTCCATCAGACAACACAAGCTGGATTGGGACAGTCCTTCTGTGTTGGTGGGTGTCTTCCTGAAGAAACAGTCTGTGCACTGGTTGAGCTTCTTTCTTCATTGAAAACTACAGCATGTTGCATTGTAGAAGCTAGTAGGAAAACACTGAATAGCTTTTAAATGTATTTAGAAATACTGCACTGTTTTTGCCCAAGGTATCCAGGTATAGTTTCATAGATTGTAGGGTCGGAAGGGACCTAGTAGATCTTCTAGCCCGACCCCCTGCCAGGGCGGGAGAACAACAAAACCCCAAAACAAGAAATGGGACTCAAGTGAGTCCAGCCAGGTCAGCATCCAGCCTCTTCTTAAAGACCCCCAGGGTAGGGGCCAGCACCACTTCCCTTGGAAGTTGGTTCCAGCTCCTAGCCGCCCTAACTGTGAAGTAGTTCTTGCGGATGTCCAATCTATACCTCCTCTCCATCAACTTGTGCCCATT